GCTTCCACGGACGTAGACTCAATGGTGAAACCAAATGAAGAAATCTGTAGCCCCTGTCTGAGGTGTCTGGTGGAGATTAGGTCTGATCTAACACCTTTTGGTCTTGCTCTGTCTAAACAAGCACTCAAATCTGAAACCCAGCCAGTCATAGCAGTCCCTGCCTACATGTGTAATCGCAGGCATTTCAGAGTTTAGTCTTAAGTCCTGGCTGTCAAGTTCGTAATAAAAATATGCTATTTAATGTTTGCAGAATGAAGAAAGCTAACTGGCCAAGTGGATTTTTTCCAAGTTGTCAATTATTCTCTAGAATCAAGGAGTATTTTTCTTTTTTCTTTTCTTTTTTTTTTTAACAGTGACACTTTGCTTGTATATAGTTCAGTTGGTACCCACTCTTTTTGATCATCTGACATTCCTGCAATAAGAGTGGAAATTTACAACTTTAATGAAAACTTTGTCATCACCAATCAAAACCATAAGTCAAATTAAGTGCAATCATCCTTTTAAGAATCATCTGAGATTCTTTTAGAACTAGCTCATAATGCAAAACATCTACTTTCAGGCATAACTGGTACAAATCAGAATCATTTACATGCTTATCATAGAAATTTCCAGTGGTGTACTGCTTTCTTCCTATATCATTCCTAGATCATTTATTTAGTACATATTTATTGAAATTGTAGAGAGTAAGGTCCAGGTTACCCACAATTGTGTCCTGGGCCTCAAAAGATTTATAATCATTTAGAAAGGTGGACTTGCAAATTCTGAGAATACACACACACACACACACACACACACACACATACACACGAGATAAATTTCTGTCGATATAATGGATAAGTGTTTTTTGTTTTCTTGATTGCAGCTGCTATGGTCTGAATATTTACGTCCTACCAAAATTCCTGTGTTAAAATCTAACCCCCCAGGATAATGGTATTAAGAGGGGGGCCTTTGGGAGGTGATTAGGATTATATTAGGAGCACTCATATATGTGATTAGTGCCCTTGTTTCAAAAGGTGTGAGGAAGCCTGTTTGCTCCTTGTGCCATGTGGGGACACAGCGAGACAATGTCATCCATGAAGCAGGGAGCTTTCACCAGAAAATTCATTTCACTGAATCTTCTGACACCTTGATCTTGAACTTCCTAGCCTCCAGAACTGTAAGCAATAAATCTCTATTATTTATAAATTACCTAGTCTCTTGTACTCTGTTGTAGCAGCCCAAACATGCTAAGATATTAGGTTGGTGCAAACATAATTGTGGTTTTTGTATTGTTGAAATTTGCCATTTGATATTGGAATACATTCTTAAATAAATGTGGTTATGTTACATATCATTTCAGTGTGCATTTTCCGCTTTAGTTTTTATTTTGCGAATGACTTTAGTGCTGTTTATTTTACATTAATTAAACTATGGAAATGATGTCAGACAAAAAGTAAATTCAAGCGATTTTCCTATTTGAGTTCAAAATGGGTCATAAAGCAGTAGAGACAACTTGTAACATCAATGCATTTGGCCCAGGAACTGCTAACAAATGTACAATGCAGTGGTGGCTCAAGACATTTTGCATAGGAGATGAGAGCCTTGAAGATAACGATCATAGTGGCTGGCCATCAGAATTTGACAGTGACCAGTTGAAAGATGCCAAAGAACTCAAAGTGAACCATTCTATAGTCATTCGGCATTTGAAGCAAATTGGAAAGGTGAAAAAGCTCGGTAAGTGGGTCCCTCATGAGCTGAGCAAAAATAAAAAATAAAAAAAGTTATTTTGAAGCGCCTTCTTCTCTTATTCTACTCAACAACAAAGAACCATTTCTCAATCGGATTGTGACATGCCATGGAAAGTGGATTTTATATGACAATTAGCTACACCAGCTCAAAGGGTAAACCGAGATGAATCTCCAAAGCACTTCCCAAAGCCGAACTTACATCAAACAAAGGTCATGGTCCCTGTTTGTTGATCTGCTGCCAGTCTGATCCTCTACAGCTTTCTGAACCATGGTGAAACCATAACATCTGAGAAGTATGCTCAGCAAATCAATGGGATGCACCACAAACTACAGCTCCTGCAGCCAGCATTGGTCAACAGAAAGGGCATAATTCTCCACAGCAATGCCTGACTACACATTGTACAACCCACCCTTCAAAAGTTGAACAAATTGGGCTACGAAGTTTTGCCTCATCCACCATATTCACCTGACTTCTCGCCAACTGACTGACACTTCTTCAAGCATCTTGACAACTTTTTGCAGAGAAAACATTTCCACAATGAGCAGGATGAAGAAAATGCTTTCCAAGACTTCAAATCCTGAAGCACTGATTTTTATGTTACAGGAATAAACAAACTTATTTGTTGGCAAAAAATGTGATCATAATGGTTCCTACTTTGATTAATAAAGGTGTGTTGGAGTCTAGTTATAATGATTTGAAATTCACAGTCCAAAACCTCAATTACTTTTGCACCAACCTAATAGTACCTATATGAATATAGTCACTCTTCTCCAGACTCATATTCTGTTCTCCATAGTTAAGGCCCTTAAGAGCCACTCCCAGGCAGGTTTTCCTGGTTATAATCAGTACATATTAGTCAGGCCTATTACTCTATGTTGAACATTCCCTTTCTTCTCCTAGTATGAACATGATTACATCATGCAGAGATTTGTCCTATGTAATTCATTCAGCAGCAATTAGGGGAAGTAGGGAAGTAGAAAGAAAGAAAGACAAGCATCATCTTGGAAGTCATCGATCTTGGGTGAATCCTTTGCACAGATTTAAGCAATGGGAGGATGCTCTTTTTCATCATGATGGAGGGAGGGTGTTTATTGCTGCTGGCTCATAGGGATTGAAATTCTTAAGAGTTCATCCTCCCAAATGTCTCCAATCCAGGCTTAATATTCCACTCCTCCCCATTAGGGCCCTGAATTCAGTATAGAAGAATTTGCCAGAAATTTGAATTCAGTCTTCTTTTGGCTCTACCTCTCTTCCTATAAACTCTTGATCCTGATTTTCAACACATTTTTCTCTTCAACACATTTTGCACATGAAAGAAATGTGAGTCTCTTGAAATGCTGCAAAGAATGGCTTTTGGCTTTCACTCTGCAACCTTATTTAATAGTGTCTATTTTCTTCCTTCATAACCTAATGGCTACTAACAACTGCTAATTAATTTTACAATCTTTATTAATGTAATTTAGCCCATATAATTCATGTAAAGAACTATTACAAAACAAATGCATTACTTCTTCATTTGTACTCCAATCCATCATAGGTGGTGAAAAGCAGGATGCTGGTAATCTCAGTTGGTCTCTTTGGATTTTGGAAACAATGCATATTACACTGGGAATATTGCTTTTGTTCCAAGTAATGAGTGACTTAGAAGGCTGGCAGTTTTCAGTGTGGCCCATAGCAAGATACATTCTTCAGCAGTTTTAGTTATGGTAAAAGTAGCTCTGCCACTTTGTACAAATGACTTGCAGATCACATAGTACAGGACATCAGAGGTCTTTTTGGTAGATAAAACATTGTGTCTAGTCTCTGGAGAACCACAGCAAAAAAATCACGGAACAGAACTAGGAATAGAAACAAAGTCACACCATCTTTAGCAAAGAACTAGTCACAGTTTGAAAGATACTCCTTATGCTGTTGGGTCCTGTTAGAGATGGTGTGCCAGAACATGGGCTACCAGGTGACAATGTAATGAAATGTCCACCCAGAGCTGGATCTTTTCTTTTTCCATCAGATCACCGTAGAAAAGTCCAAGCCCATTTCCAGCCCCACAATGGCTAAAAATCTTAGCAAAGGGAGGGAAGTCAGTGCATCCAAGGTAGGTGTGGTATGGGTGTCAGGTCCTCTGTTCCTACTTATTCGTATTTGGATTTCCTTTTTAGTCCTTTGTCAAGAGAATTAGACAAAGAGATGTCTGTCCAAGGATAAAGAAATCTAGAATGGATGACAGGAAGAGAAAAATTAAGATGTTGGGATCAACTGCAGTGGCAGAGACTGTAGACTGTTTCATCAAAGCATCCTAGAGCCAGGTTTCTTGTTTTGTTTTTTCTTGTTTGTTTTGGTTTGGTTTTTAAGAAATTGTGACTGGCCACTAGTATATGTTGTTTGCATTAGTTTACTATCACTACATAACCCATTATTACTACTCACCTAGAGGATTTAAAAAACATTTCACATTTCTATAATTCAGAAGACCAGAAAGTGCCAAAATTGAGGTATCCGCCAACTTGGACATTTATCTGGAGGCTATGAGAAAGAGCCTCCTCGGAGATTATTCAGCTTGTTGGGATAGAGTCCAGTTCCTTGCAGTTGTAGAACTGACAGCCCCGTTATCTTGCCTGCTGTTGGTTAGGAACTTCTCTCGGCAGCTAGAAATTTGTTATGACTGAGCTGTGTTCTACCAAAATTTATATGTTGAAATTCTAACCCAGAGTATCTCAAAATATGACTGTATTTAGAGATAGAATCGTCAAGAAGGGAAATCAGGTAAAATGAGGTCATATGAAAGGGCCCTGATCCAATATAATTGGTATCTTTAAAAGAAGAGGAAATTTAGACACAGGCATGTACACAGGAAAAATCATGTAAAGATACAGGGAGAAGATGACATGTAAGCCAAGGAGAGAGGTCTTGGAAGAAACTACCTCTGCTGACATCATGATCTCAGACTTCTGGCCTTCAGAACTGTGAGAAAACAAACTTCCGTTGTTTAAGCTACTCAGTCAGTCTATTTTTTTGAGATGGAGTTTCACTCTTGTTACTCAGGCTGAAGTACAATGGCATAATCTCGGCTCACTACAACCTCTGCCTGTTGGGTTCAAGTTATTCTCCTGCCTCAGCCTCCTGAGTAGCTGGGATTACAGGCGCTCGCCACTTCACTTGGCTAATTTTTGTATTTTTAGTAGAGACAGGATTTCATCATCTTGGTGAGGTTGGTCTCGAACTCCTGACCTGAAGTGATCCACCTTTGGGAGCCTAGGCCTCCCAAAATGCTGGGATTATAGGTGTGAGTCACCGTGCCTGGCCAGTCTGTCATTTTTTTATGGCAGCCCTAGAAAACTAATACAAAGCTACTCTCTGTTTCTTGCATATGGGCCTCTCCATCTTTGAATCAGCAATAGTGCATCAGATCTTTCTAGTGCCTTGAATTGCTTCTGCTACCACCCAGAGGAAACTCTATTTTCCACTATTCTCACAGGAGCCAATTTCACTAAATTTTCTGCCATTACCTAACAAGCATCTCTATTTCTCCTGTTTCCAATAACATGCCCCTCACTGTATTCTGAGCCCTTACCAGAAAGACTCATAAAATTCATATTTTGACTCACAATCAGTTGAAGACAATTTAGGCATTCTCTATCATCATATCTTTCAAAATTTTTTTCAGCCTTCTTCCAGCCTCCATCCACTTGGTTTTAAAGCCGCCTCCATATTTTTATGTGTTTGTTATGGTAGCACCTACTTCCAAACACCAAAATTATCTACACCAATCGGAGTTCAACTGGAGTTGCAGGAAATTTAAGGTTTTACAGGTATTAAAATTATATCTCTCTTGACGGATGGATGGATGGATGGATGGATAGATAGATAGATAGATGGCATGGTTGCGGGAACTGGAATAAAGTCCTAAATCCATAGAGCAGACATTCAGGAAGGCATAGTCTTGAACCTATGGCTATGGTTGAAGTTATCATCCACAAGAAAGAAAGATCACAAACAGGATGGAACTCCCTGAGAACAGGTTGAAATTGTCCTCAAGAGAAATTTCTTCTTTTTCTTTCTCTTTCAGTCTCTCTCCTCTCTCTCAGAAATATCAACCCTGCATTTAAGGCTTTGCAACTCATTCACTTAGGTCCACTCACATTATCCAGAATAATCCCTCTTGCTTAAAGACAATGCATTAGGATCTTTATTACAACTACAGAATTCCTTCACAGCAACACCTGTATTTGTGTTTGATTGTATAAAAAGGCAAGTTGAAACATCACAATAGCCACCACAGTGTTAGTGCTCTCTGTACAAGCCTTTATGACTCACTCTTACCTCACGGGCAGAAAGTGTCCTACTGCAAGCATCTGCGGCTCTCAGGCCAAGAGTCTTTCCTCAATCTGTGCACGGGATGGAATGGAAACACTGGGGAACTAACATCTCCAGGAAGTATTCTCAGCCCATGAAAAATAGATCTTTGAGGATAAATACATCAGCTTCTGTACCCATCAGGTGCACTTCTCCAACAGAATTGAATTCTATTACCCTCACCTGCAGCCTGTTCATCACATCCTTTCCTTCTGCCTCACCTGCCCACTTCCCTACCAATGATTACTGAAGTCACCTTACAAATAAACCACTGCTACTCATATTCTTGCCTTGAACTTTGCTTCTGAGATAACTTTTCCTAGGACAACTCTCTTCTCAATGTTCTTCTCTCACCAACTCCTAACGAAATCCGTCAGTGTTCTTCACTGCAAAAGACACAAGTCAATTCTAGTAAATTAATAGGTAGACGCTGTTTGCAAGAAGGCAATCAGGTGGCACCAGAAATGAATGAAAGTCTGTAGCACTAGGTTCTGAATATGATAAAAATGAAGAGAGATGAGTGGTTGGGAACATAGCCATGATTTTCCCTTAAAAACTATCTGCTTAGAAAACACCAATCACTGGAAACTCCTCTAGCACTTTGGGATCTTGACCGCCACTTTCTCAAGAGATTTGTCTGTCTCTGTACTTTTGTGCCACTTTCTCAAGTCCTGAGTGGGGTATCTGATTGGCAGACGCAGGGTCACATGGCCACATCTTGGCAGCTCTGGGTAAAGGATGGTGCATACTTATCTTCCCAAGATAGAAAGTTGATCTACTGGGTAGCTAAGGGAATACAAATGTTCTCTGTTTTCACAGTAGCCATTGGCAGTAAAGAACTTTCCACAGGATAGATCTTATTTTAGTGTATGCAGTGATATTAGTGCAAATACTGAATTTTAGTAAAAGCATTCCAATGTCTTTTTTTGTCTTCAGAACATTCTCATGGGAGTTCTGGGTATAAACAAATATGTACACAGCAAGATTGTAGTCACACATATACATACACATATATATACAAACAGCAGGAATTGCTTGAGGTAAAAATTATTTCGTACGATTTCCACTAGTGACTAATCTTTTCTTCTTTCCTCTCTATGTTAAGCAACCTTGAACAAAACTAAATTTCAGGGATAATTGCTTCAGAACTTGTGTGGATTCTCTACTAAAATGTAACTGGTGAAAGTTAGTAGGACATTTCAGACTCCTCAAAATGACCTAATTGTGTTTAAATTTCATATGCCAAACTAACACCTCAAAAAGAAAAAAAAAAACAGCGTATGTGATGGATGGAAGCAGAGCTGCCATTGAAAACTATTTAGGTCATGGTTAGGTTAAATCCAGGGTGAGGCAGAAGAAAGGGTGAAAAAGAGTGTAAGAGGATCTTTTAAAAACAGTCCTATCCCTGAAACCACCCCGAAACAAGCCATTGATGGTTAAAGTGACTTATGATGCCTGTCGAGCATATTGTTGTGTGTGTGTGTGTGTGTGTGTGTGTGTGTTTTAAGACAGAATAATAGAGAAAGAGAGCCAGAGACAGAGAAACCAACATGACCTACATTTCACATGCATGGAAGTTGTAGATAAGCATATTTTATTTAATGTATGTTTACATATTTCTTTCACCAAAAGCTCACAGGCTTCTTACAGGAGGCCAGTATAAATTCTTGCTTTATTACAAAATTCTATACTTTCCTTCAACTTTCCTGCAGTTCCCAAACAGCAACTTTCCTACATCTCCTAAACAGAATGCATGAAGCCAAAAGTCTCACAAATTATTAAACCTCCAAGAATATTTAAATTAATCCACTTTTACAATTTAAAGGGGTTAAATGCCTTCTGCTCATGAATTTACAAAACCCAAAGAACAGTTTTATTACTACAAATACCATTGTGCTAAGGACGTGGCCAAATGATGGGGATGTAAAATCAAATAAGAAATGTCTTCTAAGAGCTTACAGTTTAGAAAAAAACACATACACAGGTAATTACAACACAGTAAAAAGAAGTTATTACCAAGGCATGGCCAGATTTACAATGGGAGAAACACGGCTCAAGAAACACCATGAGTGCAAGTGCAAAGTGAGCCACAAGCAGGAAAATGAGTCCTACAATGTGTAATAGCAAGGCCTAAAATATATGGTTGAAAAAATAATTACGGACAAGATCAGGAAGGGCCTTGCGTGCAATGGAAAGTAATGTGTATGATATAGGCAGCGAGGAGACCTTAAAAGGCTTGACACTAGGAACATATCATCTCATTTGCATTTTAGGTCAAACTGTAGAGAAAACAAATTTTTAAAGGAGCAGGTTTGGAGACAGAGAGCACGGGCTACTGTAGCAGTTCAAATGAGAATAAACAATACCTAAACCAGGAAAAAGGTATTCATAGTAGAAATAAAGTAGAGAATATACAGTTTAAAGTTTTTAAGAGGTACATTAAAGAAAGGTTTAGCTTTAGTGCAAGTGGGGACGAAAATGCCCTGTTGAGGACAATCCCTTCTCTAGTTTGATAACTTTACTTGGGTGGTGTATCCATGATGTACCAATGGAATCAAAGCAATCGGTTTTGTGGGAGAAGCATTCATCTTTGAGCCTGTTGTGTTTGATGTGCATGTGCACATGCAGACAGTTGGGAAATTAAAGGAGACTAGAGACAGAGGATGAGAGTCAACACTGTGATAGGAAGAATAATTTCCTCCTTTCCAAAGATTTCCAGAACCTGTGAATATACTACTGTATATGAAAAAAGGAAATTTGCAGGGGCGATTAATTTGTAGATCTCAGGACGGGAAGATTATCTGGTATTATCCAGGTAGAAAAATGTCCTTGCAAGGGTCCTTACCAGGAAAGACAGGAGCCTATGAGAGCAGCTATGAAAACAGAAGCTGATGTGATAGAGAGATTGAAAGATGCAGTACCCCTGGCCTTGAAGATAGAAGACGTGGACACAAGCAGGTGGTCTCCAAAAGGTGGAAGAGGCAAGGGAAAGAAATCTCTGCTAGGGCCTCCAGCAGAAACACGGCCCTTGGAGACTACTTGGTTTTAGGACATCTGACCTCCAGACCAGCATGATAGTAAATTGGTGATTTTTTAAGACACTATGTTAGTGGTGATTTTGTACAGAAGCAAAAGGAAACACATATAAACTCCATATAAGAGTTGGCCACATCTGTTAGGTGTGGTTTCAGAGAAACAGAGGATAAATGCTAAGAGAGAAATGGTTGTAAAAATGGAGTGTTAAAGAAACCCATTTTAAGAATAAAAATAAAGGAAGAAAAGTAAATGTATGCTTAGCTTCACAAATTGACACACATATAAAATACATATTATATATAGTACACACTTGCATTGCAAATGTGAAAAGGAGAGCTTAAAATGAGATAGGAAAAGGAAACATAGTTATTTTTCACATGACATTCTCTCTAATTCATTTGATAGAGAAAATTATGGGTTTTTTTTCCACAAAAAAAGTAAGAAAAGTTACTTGGTCTCATACCGAAAAATTAAAAGAAAACAAAACCAAACCAAATACTTATAAAACAAACTTAGCAATATTCCTAGCTTGCTGGGCAAAGTTTCTAGGGATCATGGACTGTTGTTATGTACTTCCCCAATGAGATAAGTATACAAAGGGTAGGTATTCCACAGAAAAATGAATCATTTCTCTCTGGGGCACTCTGTCCCTTCCCAGTAGTCTATATTTAAGTAAATGCTCTCTGTTAAGCAATTAGGAGTTGCTTGTCCTGATGATTGTGTGAAAGAATGTCATGTAAAAGAAACTAAAGGCATCCAATATGCTCAACACTTTTTCTTCCATTCCTCCAAATGAATCCAAATATTTTACCATCTTCTGCCAACATGGAGTTCAAGCATGCAGTATGGGCATCTGAAGAGCAAAATCTCAGGAGGCCAAGAAAAACATGAGCTAATCCTTTAAGTTTCCCAGTTATTTGCAAATTTGTCTTTCAAAGTAAGAAACAGCTAGGAAGACAAGAGACTGGGCTGATGGTTTCCGCAATAGCCTCAAAATGAAAACACATGGCATTTTTTCTTAAGATTGGCATTTACTCATTGATGATTTCTTTTTCTGACACAAAGAAGGAATTTAATTACACTTTTTTTTCCTAATAGGACCAGGTCGTTGAGATTTAATGCCATAATTTGTTACAGGGCTGAGAAATTATTGGACGGTAGCTATATAGGTGCAGAGTAGTATATGAAGTTCTCTCAAGTCTGTTTCCTGCTGCCCTCCCCCTCCTCTCCTGTTCCTTCACTCTAGACATATTGTATGTATTAATCCATTTTCATACTGCTGTGAAGAAATACCTGAGACTGTGTAATTTATAAAGAAAAAGAGGTTTAATGCACTCACAGTTCCACATGGCTGCGGAGGCCTCACAATCATGGTGGAAGGCAAAGGAGGAGCAAAGTCATGACTTACATGGCAGCAAGCAAGAAAGCACATGCAGGGGAACTTCTCTTGATAAAACCATCAGATCTCATGAGACTTACTATCACAAGAACAGCATGGGAAAACCCACCCCCATGATTCAATTACCTCTCACTTTGTCCTTCCCACAACACATGGGGATTACGGGAGCTACAATTCAAGATGAGATTTGGGTAGGGACATAGCCAAACCATATCACTGTATGACTTGAGGTTCCTCACACTACACTTCTCAAAGCTTTGCACATTCCCTGTATTGGTTCAGGAGTCCCTGCCTCAGAGAGGCTTCTTTGATTTTTTCAAGTGCTAGTAATCAGCCCTTTTGTTGATCTAGACCTCATTGTCCAATACAGTAGCCACTAGCTACATGTGGCCATGGAGCACTTGAACTGTGGGTGGCCCAAATTGAGACTATGCTATAAGTGAAAAATATATGCTGAATTTCAAAGACACAATAGAGAAACAGAATGTAAAACATCTCTGTATCAGCTTGTTTTCATGCTGCTGATAAAGACATACCTGAGACTGGACAATTTACAAAAGAAAGAGGTTTAATGGACTTACAGTTCCACATGGGTGGGGAAGCCTCACAATCATGGCAGAAGGTAAGGGAGGAGCAAGTCGTGTCTTACATGGATTGTAGCCGGCAAAGGGAGAGAGAGAGCTTATGCAGGGGAACTCTTCTTTTTAAAACCATCAGATCTCGTGAGATGTGTCCACTGTCATGAGAATAGCACAAAAAAGACCCGCCCCCATGATTCAATTACCTCCTACTGGTTCCCTCCCATGACACATGGGAATTGTGGGAGTTACAATTCAAAATGAGATTTGGATGGGGACACAGTGAAACCATATCAATCTCATTGATCATTTTTATATTAGTTACATATAGTGATGAAAATATTTTTTATCTATTCCTTAAATATATCACTAA